ACCACACCCACACACACCCACACCCACACCCACACCCACACCCACACACACCCACACCCACACCCACACCCACACCCACACCCACACCCACACCCACACACCCACACCCACACCCACACCCACACCCACACACCCACACCCACACCCACACCCCACACCCACACCCACATCCACCCACACCCTCACCCACACCCACGACCAACTCAGTATAGTGGCATGATCCTCGGATGGAAGAAACTTGAGAAGGTTGTTAATCTCTCCGTAAACATGCAAGTTTTGTTCGACAAATGGTACAGCAAAAGCAACACGAATGCCAACATCACGAGCGGCACGTGATACCGCTTCGGCTTCATTGAATAGAAGGTCAGGATCTAGAGTATTATGACAATGATTCGTGGCACATATGCCACTCTCAGCCATGCGTGCAAAGGCCACTGCAGCGAGTACGTACGGATCTGTACGAGGCTTATAAGAAAGAGCGGGTAGCCAAGTTTCAAGTGTCTCATCAGGTGCATCGAAGGAGAGCGTAGGTAGACCGCAACCATGGTCGTGAGCATTAGAGATAGCCGGTAGAGCAAGAAGATGACTTGTCTCTGGTTGCAAATCTTCAATAGATAATGAACGAAGAGAGACGATACGACCAGAACGAATTTCGATCCTGGTAGCTCCTAAAGGTGGATCATGACCTGGAGCAGTGTATATTGCACCGACATCAATGAATTCTGACGTATTATTTTCTGTTGTTGTCATTTCTAAAAAAGTGCTGAGAGGAAAGTTCTTCAAGTTTCAGTTAAAAAAAGTATCTTGAATTTAAAAATAACTTAAAAAAATGAAACATTTTCAGGGCAAATTCTAGTCGGAATTATGATTTTCAAAATTAATACGTTCTTAATTTGACTTTTCAATATTCAAAAAAAACAGCTGAATGATCATTTTTCACGATTTCTATTTTCGTAACAACGAAATTTTATGAACTTTTCAAATAAAACAAAAAAAAATCATTGTTTTCTACTTTATGTATTTTGATAAAATGTGTCATAGAACACTTCTTAGAAAATATTTACTTGCAAATCGTTAAAGTTTTTCCATCGCAATATTGAAAAATAGTATAAATATAAATAAAACAAAATAATTCGATTAGTACATTTTCTTTTAGAGGTCCACTATGCCTTATCAACCACTGAAAAAGCTTGCGAATGAATCAAACTTAGGTTGTTACATATTTTTGTGTACTTCATCGAAAGAACAGAGAACACGTGTGATAAACAATATCTGCTTGCATATCGTGCAATCGAGCAAATGTAATGCTCGTTTTGTGGCCATTTTCATACAGCAAATTATCTTACGATAATAAACTAGGGAATGAATAGAGAAAAGAACACCTTCCATGCCTGCTTTCTACTTACATTCGCCGACAACAGAGTGTGTGTGCGACCGAATGTGAAGAGTGTGAGATGTTTTGAGTGTCAGTGGCTCTAGTTGAAAAAGAGAGTTCTTCATATACCGCACTCACACCTTTGTATTACCAATTATTAATGAATTATTCAGTCATCAAATTTTAACAGAGAAAGACGATGTTAAACTAGCTCATGCCTGGTCTATTGATTTGGATCGGGAATTTTAAACGAAAAAGTACGAAGAAACGGTGTTCAGGTTTTGAACAGCTAAAAATAAGATTGAAGAAAGCATGAAAACGATAACCTATGATAAATGGAAAATAATGTTCGATAAAATTTCTAACAAATTCGACGAATTAATGAAAAATGATGCATGACAAACACATGATAGTTAAACTACAATTTTGTCTAGTCGAATTAATATGCCTTTTTTTTAAACAAACATGTTTTTCTGTTTTTTTGATAAAAAACTTCTCATAATTTTGTCATGCTTATATTTGCTACTATTACAAGAGAAAAACTCTCCTACTAATGTATCATTTGGAAGATTATCACGAGTAAGGTGTGGATGTGGGTATGAATGAGAGTGATGAAGCTAAGACTTGCACTTGCACCGCACATCCCACCCTAATATAACCGAACAATTTTCATCCACACTTACAGATTCTTCAAATGCTAAAGATTTTATCGCTAAACACACAAATCATTTGCTCGCATTGTTCGGTCGCGTATACATCGATTATTACATTCTTTAGTCTTCCCCTTTGATCGATGCCCCATTCTACTTCATAATCATAACAGAGAAGATGGATCATCAATGTTTTTGAGTCTGGATCAATAACAGATGCCGGTTCTAAATCGGAATCAAAACAATGAACGGAACACAACCCAATGTTCTAGAGGTAACATATCTTTACGAGGTCAACAACAAACAAAAATTCTTTGATAATTGTATGCAATACAACATCCGATGTCTCATTTAGCAGCAGACTTTAACATCTCATTGTCTTCGATTGTTATCAAATTTAGAGGTGAACAACAAACGTCCACTAAGGGCTTAATAGATCGTCTAATATCAAAATGGGAAAACCAATATGAAATGGATTTAACAATAAGTGTACTTATTGGACGTATGCATTCTTCTCTTATCTTTGCTGATGACCTGTCAACTTTCAAATCAAGTATAGATTCAAATCGATGCCCAAGAGCATTGAAAGAAGATATTGAAATAAAAGTTTTACGACAATTTTTTTCGTCATATTCACTTATCATTCAACAATTTCATCGGACCTCGAAAGAAGATGAATGGTTAACTGAATTACAACAGCGTTATGTCTCTTTATATAAAATTATAAGAATGCGAATAAGAGACGGATTACCATTAAATGAAGTTCGAGCCAATGTTTTATCATTTGAAAAAGTTAAACTAGTTGTGTATGGATCTGGACGTGGCTGTGATTTTAGGTTTAGATAGCACAGATCCGTGCCCACACCAACATCTCCAAATAAAAAGGTCAAGGGAATGATTCCTCATTTCATGCAAAAGCGTTCTAAGTCATCATAAAAAAGAGATTTTATAATAGGAATATATGGATTCATCAATCATAGCACAAGAAAAGAATAGTTGTGTTTATTTGATATCGAGCTTCAGCACATAGCGACTAGAATGCGTCGTTGGCCTGTGAATGAGGCCCGTCCATGAGCTGTTCGGATGTTGTCAAGCACGAGAACGTCACCTTTTCGCCATGGCCATTTCACTTCGTGCTGTTTCAGAACTTGACGTATATGATGGAGTGATGTGTCTGGAATGGTATCGCCATTTCCAAAGAAACAATTTTTAGGCATATCCAAAGGTTCTAAACGCTTTTGTAACGCTTGTCTTGTCAATTGATTGAGATCTGTCGGATGGAATAAATGAGCATGATTGCACCATACAGTTGTACCGCTATCCTGATGTAACCTGACAGCTTGACCTCGACGTACTGTCCGCAAACGATCGTTTGGTAACCATCTGAATTGAATGTGTTTATCTTTGAGAAATGCTTCCACGTCTTCTTTTGATTCAGTTTGATATGTATCTTGCCATGTTTTTCCGACACTAAAGCCACTTATCTTGCTTGGAAGATTAGTCACGTAAATTAGTTCTTTATCAATAAATTCTTGTCGAATATCAGGATCAATCGTGTCGAAAATGGCAGCTGAGTTGGCGATAGGTGTCTCACCACCAGCACCTTCATCCGGTGGTATTTGACAAAAGAAGAAAATCATCGAAGGCATATTATTCGAGTAGGACATTTCATTGTGCAGTGCCATGTCCAATTGGTTGGGATACTCAGTCGAAGTGAATACCTTATCAGTCAGGCGTGTCCGTGGAGATATACCATCACGATAGTCCAGAAATGTCTTATTATTGTCAGCCAGAGCCTCCACTACCTGAGAGAAGTCCTCAGGAGTGTCAATAGCGAATCCTCGAAATAGCAGAGCACCACATTGTTGTAATTCTTTAAGGAGATTCATTTTGTTTTTCTTAATTAAGGACAAAAGTCTCGAGAGTGAGTATTCGTTGTGCGTAGACTCGTACACACGAGGCATGCCAGCTTCCTTGATGAGAATGTATTCACGAAACGACTCCAAAGAATCATGGTTAGTGAAGCAGATTTGTTTTAACCTGTCTGATAAGTTCTTAATGCTGCAATTTTGAGGAATAATATCGATAGGCAATTCAATATTAAGTTTTTGCGATAGAAACTCAACAAGTGTGATGGCTTGCAAAGAATCGATACCTAATTGCTCGAACGGGGTTTGAGAATCAAGATTCCATACCATTGTGTGATATGATGATCCAAGAAGACGAATAAGTTGTTCCCGTACAATGTTCTCATAATTAAAAGATGGTTGGAATGATTCTTCCGTCATCGAGCGATACGTTTGATCGACAATGGATTCAAGCATTACTCGCTGAATAGGCTTCTCACTAGCTAAGATGAGTACTTTATCAGGATTGTTAGGATGAATTGTTATAATTAGTTTTTCTGCATTGGTTAATTGTAACTGATGATTGACGAGAGCCCTTTGGAATGCCGTCGCTATGGAGATTTTGTTTGATAAAATCATCATCGTTTCTAGATCTGCGATAGAACTTCGAACTCCCATTGCTGGATAGTAAGCTTCAGACGGCAAAGAAACATCGACGCTGGTTTGTTTCAGTTTCAATGGTAGAACAATACGACGATACACTACATCATCGTATGAGGTTTCATAAAGAGCGGCCAGAATATGACCGAACAATGATAAACCAAATATATTAGGCACGCAAAACTTTTCATTCTTCGGTTCTGTTGTTATTTTCTTCAGTGCAATGAGTAAATCATTCGTTGTTGAACACACCATACTTATGTCTATATTTCCTTCCAAAAGATCTTTGAGGGTGAGAGAAAGATTGGCTGAATAATGCTCAACGGGCAAGAATTGTACTAATAAATCAGTAGTCTGAATAAGACCCATTTCAAGAGCTTCGTAGTACAATGCCTTTAGGAACAATGAACTACAAAACCCAAGATTTAATTGTGTTTCATCATTTATTGAGGGTATTCTTTGTATTGATACAGAACTAGTGGTCTTTAGACTAAACATATTGACTGTTAAGAATACCTGCTTAGAAACCTTCCATGGAGGACTTTTCTGTGTTTTCACTTGTAAGTCGTTCGGTGCGCACATAGTTTGTCGTTTTTCGAGCAACTCTAAGAGATTATCCGATTTATAAGTGGTTTGTCGTTTTTCAAGCAACTGCAAGGCACTATCCGGTGTACATTTGTCTTGCTGTTTTTCGAGCGATGCCAAGATATTGCCCGACGTAGATGTAATTCGCTGTGTTTTCCATACATCGAAGAGATCATTGGTCGCGGATGAGGTAGAATTCATAGGTGACGACGATTTCTGTATACTTACTGAATTGTTATGAACATTTTTGACAAGGGAAAGTGCTCGATTATGAGTGACACAAATAATTCTCTCGAAGGGATAAGTAGGCAATACTACACGTCGACTATTTGTTCCTTGAAAGTATTCAGACCAGGCTATCGGTATGTTTTTGGTCCATATTAAACCCATCGTATAAAGTAGTGGTGATGGATAATTGTCTAACAGAGGCGAATTGATCACAGTTGCACCAGGTACAATACGTGAAAGTAATGAATTCAACGTTTTACCTGGTCCCATCGGAATGAATACGGTGGATTTATCGTTCATGATGAGATTGTTTGTCAACATATTAGTGAGACACGGACCAAATAGTACTGTTTGTCTTAAATGGTCGCACCAATACTTGACTTGTGTCATTTCTGAGTCACGCACAACTTGTCCTGTTACTGTCGACACTATCGGAATCGTTGGATCTCGCAGCGCAGTGTTCTTCAGACTATCCTCGAATTTCCTACAGATCGGATCCATCAAACGAGAATGAAATCCGGTAAGAGTATTCAATAATTTTACTTTCTTGCCTTGGTTTCGCATGTCCATTTCAAGCTTCTGTATATTTTCAATTGTACCAGAGTAAACGCATTGATTAGGTGAATTGATAACGGCCACATCAACATCGTATGCCTTAACCAGTGTTATTGCATCATCGCTTGAATTCAATTCGACAGCTAGCATGGCTCCCGTCGGTGCTATCGTCATCAGCTGGCATCGCTTTACTAACAGTCGTATAGCATCCTTCATTGTCATTACTCCTGCAACGCAAGCAGCCACGAATTCACCGCTACTATGTCCGACCAGATAATCTGGACGGATATTAAGCGACAAGAAGAAAGTCGCTAGACTATATTCCACAATAAACAACGTTATTTGAGCATATTGAGTAAGTGCGACCTGATCATTGAACGTTTCATCGAGGAGACATGCACGAATCGTTTGATGCATATTGGCGTCGATTTCGTGCAACTCTTGCAAGCAAGACTTGATCAATGATTTGCAAGCCTGAGGGCATTCATCATACAACTGACGAGCCATGCCCGCATACTGATTACCTTGTCCAGAAAATACGAGAACTAATCGAGGCTTGATTTCACCATCTTTGTTAATCTGTATTGTAGTACTCGATAATTGTCTTTTGAGATCTTCAGTTGAACAAGCAACAACAAAGCAGCGCTTACTATATGCTATTCGACCGCAGGCCAACGTAAAAGCGATATTTGCTAATTGATTGTCATTTACTTTGATAAGATGATCTAGTAGACGTTGTCGAACTTTTGATAAAGCATCATCTGTCTTTGCACTAAGAAGGAAAATATGGTATTTGGATGATAATTTCGAATCCTCCGGCGAGTAGCCTTGTTCGATGATAAAGTGAGTGTTGGTTCCACCTTGACCCAACGCATTGAGTGCTGCTCGTCTAGGTCGAGAAGCACCGTCGACTCTTGGCCAGGTGATTGTCTCAGTATTAATCTCAAAAGGTGGCTGTAGACGCAATGCCGTTGAGCTGAAATGATGAAAATTAAGTGTCGATGGAATTTCACAAGCTTCCAGCGACAGAATGATTTTAATCAAACCAGCGATAGTAGCTGCGTGAGCTGTATGACCAACATTGGTTTTGATTGAGCCAAGATATATCTGACGTTGTGTCGGTTGATTTTGATTCTTGTATGTCTTAGTCAATGCTTGAATCTCTAAGAGATCGCCCATTTGTGTGCCTGCACCGTGTCCTTCGACGTAATCGATCTCCAACTGGGGATATTGAATTTGAGCCATACTCAGTGCTCTTTGCATGCAACTTGCCTGCATTTCTGGGCTAGTTGTGGAATAGGTTGCCTTTTTCTGTCCATCATTGTTGATGGCGTAGCCTGTAATGATAGCACGAATAGGATAGCCATTTGCTTCCGCTTCTGTGATTTTCATGAGCACTACCACACCAGCTCCGTCACCACCTACGACACCATCGGCACCCTCATCAAATGCATGACAAACACCTGTTTTTGACATAATCATTCCAGGTTGATAATTGTAACCCATACCCAAAGGAAAATTGATGCAAACGCCAGCCACTATCGCAACTGTACAGTCACCTACTTCAAGGCTACGCAAAGCGACATGTAATGCGGTGCCTGACGATGAACATGCTGTTTGAATTGCCATCGCTGGTCCATTCAAGCCCAATTTATATGAAATGAATGTTGGTGCGCCATCCGTCATGTTACCTATTGCTACACGCATTATGGTAGCTGGGTCAAATGTCGAGATGCCCATACTAGCCTTCGTAGCATCGTACATTTCATAAGGATTGGCCCGAAATAGATTGTAGCATTCTGCATATGTATTGCGGCTAATCGTTCCAAACATACCGATCGTTCCTGTATAACTTTGTGGAACTAGTCCTGCATTTTCTAGCGCTTCATACGTAGATTCAAGCATGATACGATGTTGAGGATCTGTAATTTCTGCATCGATCTTTGTCATGCCGAAAAATGCATGATCAAAACAATATGCATTATTCATTGTCGAACCAGCTTGTACATAGTTCGGATTAGTCGCTAGTAAAGAAGCCATGGATGGGTCTTGCTCGAGAAGTTCCTTATGGGTCAAGCGTGAACAACAGTCAACACCATTGCGAAGTGCTGTCCATAGATCATCTGCTGTCTCCGTCGGACCATAGCGAGCAGACAAACCAATTATTGCCACACCTTTTCTAAGTGTATCTACTTCTTGAAAAGTTTTTGCCTTTTGAAAGTCTTGCACGAGGGAAGCTAGCCATCTTACTTGAGCTGTTATAGTGCGTTGTTCGAAAAGGATCATAGGATCAATTGTTAATCCGAACTGTTGTTCTAGTTGTGTGTGAAGTTTGACAATATTGATCGATGTGCCACCGCACATAAAAAAATCATCGTCGGCCTTGAACACACGTTTATTCACATCGAGATTTAAAACATTATTCCAAGCTAATTGTATCTTGGATTCGATTTCTGAAAGAGAATTCTGTGACGGTAATGGCAAGATATTCACATCTCGTTTGCCACCCGAGAAACTGATCGGAAATTGATCGATTGGTACAATGAACGATGGTAGCATATATGAGGGCAACCGAGCAGTAAGATACTGACGAATATCACTCTCTATCAATTTCTTTGGACGAACATATGCGACGATAGACTGGGTGTTCGGTACAATATCGTTTCGTACAAGAACAACTGCTTCGGTAATTGTTGAGTAACCTTGTAGCACTTGCTCAATTTCAGCTAGTTCAATACGAAATCCATTGACTTTCATTTGTGTATCAAGTCGACTGAGAAATAGAAGATTTCCATCTGGACAACGTCGCACACGATCACCACTACGATACACTTTCCCTTTCTCACCGTATCGATTAAGAACAAATTTTGTTGTAGTAAGATCAATATTGTTGATATAGCCATTGCTCACTCCATACCCACCAATCAGCAACTCACCTTCTTCACCATCTTCTACTAATTCAAGGGTTGTCGGATTAACAATGTACAATGGCGTGTCTGGTAGAGGAAGACCAATAGGCACTTGGGTATCGTCCAACAAGGTATTGTTGTTAATTGAAGTATCGTACCATGTTGCAATGCAGGTCGTTTCAGTGGGCCCATAGGCATTGATTAATCGCTTTGGAGGCTCGCTTTTTTGTAATATAGTACGCATCAGTTTAGCATTGGCACGATCACCCGCAAATAGAACGCATTCCATGTTTGCGAAGACATCCGGAACATATTCAGCAAGTATGTTAAAAATTGGCGTCGGCAAATACATGTGTGTAATATGCTGTTGAATAATTTGTTGATAAAGTACTTTTGGTTGAAAGATGAGTGCTTTGTCATAAATGATGAGCGTAGCTCCGTTCAACAATGCTCCATAAATTTCAAGAATGTAAACATCAAAACTACAGGAACATAACTGAGCTACTCTGGATGAAGGTGTGATAGCAACTGGCATGCGAACACGTCTAACGACTGCTTGGTGTTGAATCAAAATGCCTTTGGGTTCACCTGTTGAACCAGACGTGTATATTACATAACAACTATCTGATGGTTTGACAACAGGAAACAGTGCGCTACGCTTATATTCCTGGAAAAAAAAGTCAATTGAAAGAAAGCGAATGCTTTCAAAAGCTGTATGTGTGAATGATGTTTCCTTTTCGTCTTCTATAACTAGGTGCGCGCCGGCATCTTGAAGCATTATACGTATCCGTTTATCAGGCAGTTCTGGATCCAAATAAAGATAGGTTGAACCTGCCATGAGTACACCAAGCATGGCTGCTATCAGATGAGGACATCGTTTCATGTATAAGCCAATTACTTCCTTTGACTTTCCTTCTCTGTCATATAAATATGACGCAATTTGTTCTGCTCGCTGTAACAGTTCGGCATATGTCCACACTTGATCTTGGTAAATGACGGCTTGATGATCCGGTCGAGTCTCGACTCGTCGACGAAAACATTCATGAAGAATCATGTCAGAATCGTTTTGTCGGATTGCTTGTAATCTTTGCCACAAATATGTTCTTAAACACGTTGGCTCCTTAGCGATCGTTTCAAGTGCACACCGATAACAATTTGCCATTATTTTTGTTGTTTCAGATCGGAAAAGTTTACAGTTAAGATGAAAACCAACTGAGAATGGTTGTCCACTACCATAATCCATAATCTCAAGATCGATGTCTGATTTCGTATAGGGTAACAATAATGCTGAGTCATGCACACTTGCCCATTTAGTTCCATCCGAAAATGTCTCTGTGCGATTAAACAAATTGTAGGTATTTGTCTGAAAGAGTACCCGTACCACTGGAAGATATGTAAAAAGGCTCGGATCTGTGCTCACTAAGCGCAAACGCTGTACGATATCAGCAAATGGCACCATCTGATGTTCCATCCCAAATAAAACTGAATCCCGTACACTTTCAAGGAGATCGATAAATGTCGTATTGGCATCATTAGGTAGTCTTGTACGTATTGGAATTGTGTTAATTAATGGACCGAATAGATCGCTGATACCCGGTTGTGAACGTAAAGATATAATAGATCCAAGCACAATATCGGATGTGTTAAAACAATACACGCTTAGTAAACATTTGAACAACGTCAGTAGAAGGGTATGTAATGTGCAAGCATGAGATATTGCCAACTCTCTTAGTTTTGTTGCTAATTCTGTAGGAACCAGGAATAAGAAGATGTGTGAATCTAAAACAATATCTTGATCTTGTTGAACACCAAAATCTGTGTCCAGCATCAGAGAGCGAAAGTCACTTAAATAATTAACCATATTGTTCAACTGCTGACTGGAACATGGTGTTTCGGAAACATTTATTGCATAGTCATAAAATGATTTTTCTTTGTTCGATTCCAATAACACTGTTGAGTTCCCCGCAGCGTACAGATCAAATAGTTCCTTGAAGAATCGAGTGACTGATTGCCCATCACATACAATGTGATGAAAACAAATTAATAGTACATGCTGGTTACCAGATAAGTGCAGAATGACGAATCGGCATGTATCTCCTTTCTTCAAATCGAATTCTCGCATCGAATAATATTGTAATCGTTTTCGAACTTCGAGCATTTGTAGTGTACCTTCGATGGATTCTTCAATAAAAGGTAGATTCCAATCATTCTTCTCTTCTTGCCAGCATGTACCGCTACATTCTTCCTCGAATTTAGTTCGTAATAAAGCAAACTTGGACATAAGATAATGAAGAGAGCGACTAAGTACTGCCACATTTAGTTCACCAGTAATCTCGAAAGCAATCGGTACATTATAGTAACAACTATCAGGTTTCAATTTCCAAAGTAGCCAAAATTGCTGCTGTGCTGGAGTTAAGGGAGCGCGACATTGATTATCTATGTTATCGAAAATTTTTATCGACTGTTTTGGTTTTTCTTTATTCTGGCTTATTTGTGACTCTATGCATCGAGCAAGTTCGAACATTGATTTTGCCTGAAATACCATCGGAATGGTAATTTGAACGCCGAGGGTTTCATACAATTTTGCGATCATTTCCATAGCAGAGAGAGAATGACCACCAAGTCGAAAGAAGTTACTGTTCATATCGACATCCTTGTTTTTCAATACTTGAGCACATATTTGACTAATAAATCCTGGAATATTCAATGATGATCCTCCTTGGGATGGCTTTGGAAGAGACTTTTTGTCAATCTTGCCAACAGTGTTAAGAGGAAATTGAGCCACTGGCACAATATAAGTTGGTATCATATATTCAGGTAGACGCTTGGTGAGAAAAGTTCGTACTTCATCAGAATCCAGTAGAGAAGAAGAATATAATGGCTGAACATAGCCGACAAGATACTTCTCTTCTTCCGTTATGTCTTCACGTAATATAACAATGGCATCTGCAATAAGTTCATGTTGAAGAAGATGAAATTCGATTTCTCCCAGTTCAAGACGTTGTGATCGGAGTTTAACTTGATTATCTTCACGATAAAGAAATTCAATATTGCCATTATCTAACATACGGCAAATGTCACCAGTGCAATAAACAAGGCCTTCACCAAACGGATTAGGAATGAACTTTTGTTGCGTCAAATCAGTACGATTGTGATAGCCATAACTCAAGCCCATGCCTCCAATCAATAGTTCTCCGGGCACTCCACGCGGCATCAGTTGAAATGACTTATCGACAATATAGACAGACGTATTTGTTAGAGGTGTTCCAATAGGTACAGTCAATGCTTCACCTGGGATCGGACCGCTGAGCTCATAAAATAAAGCAAACACTGTTGTTTCCGTTGGCCCATAAACATGAACAAATTTGTCAAGAACTTGATGTTCCATGGCACGACGCAAATGCTTTATATTCACTTTTTCACCCCCAAAGTAAATCTTTCGTAGAGAATTGAACAGCACTTGTGAGGCTTCTTGTTGTGCAAGAACATTAAATACTGCGGTCGACGGACTGATAATATCAAGTTTGAGTTCGAGAAGACCTCTGGCTGAGCAAGTCAACTCTGGAGTAATAATTACGAGTGTTCCTCCATTTAACAAGGTACCGAACATCTCGAACGTTGACATGTCGAAGCTGAATGAAGACAATTGTGCTATGCGCATTCCAGGACCGATGGAGTGGTAGTTAACATCGACCATACGTGTTACTATCGCCCTGTGTGAAGTGCGTACACCTTTTGGAGTGCCAGTTGATCCAGAAGTGTACAAGATATAGGCGAGTGCAAAAGGATCATTAAACGATTCTAATGTAGATTTAGACGACAGTATTGATGAAGTTTCATATCTTATTGTCGGTATGCATATCGTGCACTCTGAGCTTTCTGTAATCATAAGACTTGCATGAGTATCTTGCAGAATGAAATGTTGCCGTTCCGTGGGTAACGTTAGATCAATGTATACATAATAATTAGCGCTAAGAAGAACGCTCAGTATCGTTTGAATTAGATCAATTCCACGTTGCATGCGAATGGCAATGCATTGCTTTGATGAGGAATTTAAACATTGTCGAATAGTTTGACTGAAATTGTTCGAGTTTTGCCAAATCTGTCTATATGTCAATTGGATAGCACCATCTTCAACCGCAATCGCATTAGGCGTGCGTTCAACTTGCTCCAAAAATAGTTGACAGATATTCTTATCATGAGATCTGCTTGATCGGACGACGGATGAAATCGACAGCAAATCATTATTTGACACTATAGACCAGTCATTACAAGGAGCTAGTGGATTCAACAAAACAAAACGCGTGAGTTGTAGCCAATGATGAAGTAATTGTTCAATGAAGCTAGTATGAAACAGATTGGATTGGAAATATGCTTCAATCGATATAGCACTTGGCTCCGGCCATATATATATATCAAGTTCAAACTTGGGAGCTTGCTCGTGAATAGAAACCTTGCGCAAGATATTCATTGATTTGTTGCCAACATTCTGATAGGCAAACAGGATGTGGAATAATGAATTTTGATGTTGATCTCGAGGTAAATGTTCGAGTGCACTCAGTACACGAACAAATGGTATTGATTGGTGAGCGAAAGCATCGAGAGTAGTATCCTTGACTCGGGATAGTACATCAGTGAAATTGCAAATGCAGGACAAGTCAGTTCGAAGCACCAATGTATTTGTGAACAGACCAATGGTATTTTCAACCTCCGACTGGGTACGATTAGCCACAGGAACACCAACTACCATGTCAGTTTCGTGAGTGTAATTTACTAATAGCAATTTGAAAGTGCTTAATAAAATCATGAATGGAGTCACATCTTCATCTTTGCTCATAGATTGAATCATTTGGGTTATGTCAGATGGAAACATGAAATGAACTCGTTCAAAGCTAGTTTCACTAGTTTGCAGTGCTTTAATATCATGTAAAAGACGAGTTGGAGTCAAAAGTCCATTGCTTAATTTGTTCTTCCAGTAAACTAAATCGGCGTCATATAAATGTGGATCTTGTTGGTGTTCGAGTTGAGCATATTGAACGAATTGCATGATAACAGGAGGAAGTGTTTGCGATGTCAAAATACCTTCGAGGTCTCGTACGAAGAGTCCGATTGACCAGCCATCGATAATGAGATGGTGAACGATCATTGTTAAAATTCGTTGATATGCATTTATGCATAGAAAAAAATGGCAAAGAGGTTGGTGTTGGTGCAAATTAAATTTTCTCCTAGCGAGTTCAGTCAATATTTGATCTGTTTCATCGATATTCTTAATTTCAATTTCTTCAAATATGCTGAAACCAGCCATGGTCAAGTCACTCTTTAGTGTTGTAACTGTTTGATGAATCTCACCAGATGCATTGCGTGAGAAAATCATCCGTAGACTGTCATGACGTTGCAGTAAAATATAGAGAGCTTCTTTAACTCGATCATTAGTTATGTCCTTGGAGAGAATTTCAAACGCGCATGCAACATTATATAGTGGAATGCTAGAAGAATTGTGTAGCTCGTCAGCAATCCAAATACTTTTCTGAATGAGTGTTAATGGGGCACTTTGACAGTTATTCTTACTATCTTCAAATGACTTCTTCATCGGTGTTGAATTCTCGACATATTCAATTAAATCCGACAGATTAGTTTGGGAAAAAAATTGTTCAATCGGCACTTGAATGTTGAACTCGCGTCGAAGAGCGCATTGAAGTTGCATCGCCGGAAGTGAATGGCCACCAAGTTCGGTGAATGTTAATTGACTGCTTTTTTCGTCATCTTCTCGAGTTTCTAATGTGCTATACCAAAGATCCATTACTCGTTGAGAATGTTCATAGTTGTTGATCCCGTTGGTCATAAGACTCGAGTTATCCTGTACTCGATTTTCATACTGCAGAACCAGTTGTTTGCGGTCGATCTTGCCACTCGTTGTTCGAGGCAATGCTGTAGTTGCACAAATAAACACCGATGGCACTTCGAACTCCGGCAGGTGATTCCTAATCCACTGCTGAAGAACACTGTCAGATAGATCACACGAAGACATGTGCACTACAGCAATAAGCTGAGCTTTTGCTTCATGAATAAAACATCCACATTCACGCACAAGAGGATTCTGCATACAGACAGCTTCAACTTCTTCCAGTCGTATACGTGCATCACCACTTTTCACCTGTATACTATCGATACGGCCTAAAAAAAGCAACTGGCCTGTTTGGTCACACTCGCGAGCGCAATCACCTGTCTTGAAATATCGACGTCCGTCAACATCATATCTGAACTTAGACGCTGTCATGTCAGAATCATTCAAATAGCCATTACAGAGTCCGTCACCAAAAATCCATAGTTCATCACTGACAATCTTATAATATATATTATCAATAGGTTTACCAATAGGAACTGTATCATATTCATCACTTAGATGACGCACTTCATAATATGTAGCACCATTAACGGTTTCTGTAGAACCATACAAATTCACTAAGAGAGCTTTTGATGACAAAGCCAAAAATTCTTTACATATAATTTTGGGTAGCGTTTCTCCGCTAACAATTACATAGCGAAGGGAATTGAAACAGCCATCCAACATCGTTGGTAACAATTTAAGCAAGCGGGAAAGCACGCTTGGAATGAGTGTAATACGTGTGACAGCCGTTCGTTGAATCAATTGGAGCAACAGGCAAGAGTCGTGCATAGTAGTTGCAGATGCCACCACGGTTGGTACACCTGTCAATAGACCACCAAGCATCTCCCATATATAGTCGGAGAACATCACTGATGTTTGCCATAATTGTACATCATCGACACTCCATGGATATGTTCTCCACATCCAGCGAAATCTATTGTATATGGCTCGATAAGGAACTAAAACACCTTTCGGTTGACCGGTCGATCCCGATGTATAAATTATACACATTGTATCATCACATGAATGAATTTCAAGTGGAGCAAGAATATCTGACTGATATCCTTGCTGTAGTATTTCTGAAAATGAGCAACTAATGGCTGATGTAGGAAGGTCACTATCAGTAATTGAAGAGGTTTGATCAGTAATAAGCAGAGCAGGCATCGTATCAGTAAGAAAGAGATTTCGTCGTGTGCCTTGTATATTCGGCTCTATAAGTACGAATGGAGAACGATGGAGAAGACATGCTACTACACTTATAACTAAATTAGCACTTCGTTCCATCTGAATGGCAATCAATTGTTTAGGCTCGATGGGAATAGTACGTAGTCCTCGTTCGAATCGACATGATGCATCATGTACACTAGCGTATGTATACTCTGAGACATCATTCAAATTTTCATCGATGATTAAGCATGTACTTGAAGGGCGACTATAAGCGATCCGATGAAAACGTTCAGCAAAATCTTCTTCATCCACTTTTTTGGTCATCAATGACATTTCACTAGTTCCAGTAAATTCTTTCTCCATGAGTTAACCGTTGAAGTCGGAAATATTTTTCTTTGAAAAAAAATGAATTCGTTTCTAGCAATATTTATCTGAAAATGAATATATATTGTTCATAATCGACAGCTCGAATATTGAAACGTCTTTCAAAATACATTCTCGATAGTCAGAGCTGTATTACAAAGTCATTTGACTGAAGAATATCGGTATCTCTGGAAGACTTCGAAAGAAATGTAACAAAAACAGCGATAGTGAATTTACTGTACGGTAGGTGTGAATACCTACGAATGTGGGTGTGGGTGTGAGTGTTGGTGCGGGTAGGGGTGAGAATGATGAAGTGAAGACTTGCACCCACACCCTAGATGAATTTCATACCAATTTTTTCCAGTTTAGATGAACCTTATATTGATTTAAATTGGGCTTAAACAAGTTTAAATTGTTTGAAAAAGTTGAAATTTACGTAATTCAATTTAAATTCAAAATAAATTTAACTTTTTAAAATATACATGTATAACACATTTAAATTTATTTTTAATTTAAATTTGCAAAGACTTCAGTTTTCAAGAATTTCACAGAAAATGGCCTCTCTTTTTCTGCAGGAGAAAAAAATATACAGACATGATTGAGTCTCTAAAAGATTCTCTCTTTTATCCGAGTACAGAGCCGCTCAAAAAATGATTTATCACAGACAACAATTTTCTAGAACCATTTATGACACATTTATATCGTGTCCAGAACTATTTTCATAAGGTTCTGAAATTAGACAGAAACCAGAAGCTTGCAAAGGTTTGAACACTAACTGTTTTTCAGGTTACCTATTCAACAAGATGTCTGAAGCTATCACAATGATTAAATAACAGAAAGATAATAAAAATTTAAATATGATCCTCTATTTTTCTCACAGAATATTGCAGTAGCTGTCCGGATACTTCAACAGTAGAATTCTAGAATTCTTTCATCAAACTCGATAATTATACATATGGAAGTTCTCTCTAACAATTTATTGCACACATGCAAGTGGCAACTAAAATTGCCTATAGTCAAACAGGATTTGAACTCGAGTTGGTAAAATCTCGCTGAGATATAGATGGCGTCAGGATCACTCAATGTCTTTCCGATCTAGTGTTTATCACTGAAAATTCAGTACGGTTTCTAAACAACTCCATCAAACTCGACAAAATTCATAGCATGAGTAGTTGGATAAAAGTCCTGTGCAACGATCAGATAGTTGACTCGTAAGTGCCTCCTTCAAGATCTTTAGAACTCAAATCCCATGTAGCAAACATATGCATATTTTCAAACGCCTATCCATATTTACGACTAGCGAGAGAGCTACCCCAACTAATTTCGAGCTTTCGACTTTATCTTTTGACTATACGCAGGCTTCAGTGAGACTAAGAAAACTCTAGAAGCGTTCGTTCTTACGGCTCTTCGTTGCTAATATAGAGTCAAAACTACGACGTCATTTAAGATTTTTTTCATTTTTGAAACGTTTCTTTTGTTTTCGTATCCAAATAGTTCTAGGTTAATCTTCATACGGCTATCTCTAATAAAAAGTTTGTTTTCTTCGATAACTTTCTAGACAACAAGCTTTTATTAGAGTTAGCTCTATAAAGGGTACGCTAGAACTAACTGAATGAAAAATCAAAAGAACCTGTTCAAAATTGAAAAATTTCTTATATTAAGCCATAGTTTTTATTGTATCTTGGAACCGCACAGCCGTAAGCACGAATGCTTCTAAAGTTTTCTTAGTCTCACTGGAGCCTGTATATGGTGAGAAGATAAAGCCGAAACTCGGAATCAACTAGGGTAGTTCTCTCGTAAGATCATATATGAATAATTTTGATTAACTGTTCGATCATTTTTCTAAACAGCGAATACAATTATAGGTCCAAATTAGATTTAATGTTTTAACGTTAGTATAAGTGAAGTTCGTTAGCTAGCCTGATTATTAAATATAAAACTCGGTAAGACAGATCAATTTAATAAGATCTAACTGGTATATTTATTAGTGAGTTAGCTAATGTGATAACTTGTAAGTTAGAAAGTTTGTAGTACCAAAAAACTGATAGCCGTAATTTCAATCCAGTGCTGTATATTTTCATTAAGTTAAATCAGTCGCATTTACTTAACATATAAATTATTCAGTTAGTCTGATTTCCTAACATATGATCTAGTAAGTTTAATGATCTTACTACAATGAGGTAAACGTAACAGCCAGGGATGTTAATTTATATTTACCTTTCATCTAATTTACGCGTAAATCAAATGATAAGTAATTTATATTTTTTATAAAGTGAACGGTAAATGACACCCCTAGTAACAACTGTAATTTAAAATCTTACTTCAGATGTTTGCGATATATTAATCAATCTGCCTTAGTCATAATACTATAGTTCTATTACTACTCCAGACCATGGTTAGGTCAACAAAATTGTTTTTTGACACTTTTCTGCTTCTATTTTAATGCGAGTTCATTTTTCAGAACATCTAATACATTTACTGTTGACAAAAAGAAATTGCTACTGACTGACATGACAATAGTAAAACTTTTCTACTGTGAGAATTGTTTGTTTGAAGTGAATTTTCAATGCTTGCCTGCCAATGCGCCATCAACCATAAGGACTTCATTTGTTGAATACAACTTAAAAATGCACTGATTTTGCACTCAAAGAGCTGCTCCTTAAATAGTTTAATGAGTTATTTGTTCTATTTTTGTTTGATGTTTTTTTGTAGTAACGTCGTAGAAATGCTGATTCATAGGCATGACATTCAATGACGTAATGATGCATCATTAATTTTCTTCCTATTTTATCATGTTTGATGTTTTTTTGTAGTAACGTCGTAGAAATGCTGATTCATAGGCATGACATTCAATGACGTAGTGATGCATCATTAATTTTCTTCCTATTTTATCATGTTTGATGTGCTATTTATGGCTGAATATGCACGATAGTATCTATTAATTAGACGAAGTCACATTTCTTTCAGCACGTGATACAAATTATTCATTTGAAATACAAGATCGATTCAGCATATATGAATTTTTCTAAGATAATAAGGTAAGAATCTGTTTGAAGTAGGAAACCCACTTTATTTTGACTTATTAGATAAATATCAAAAAATTTTATTGTTCAAAAAAATAAGCTGAATTAAAAAGCAGAGACTTCTTTCTTTTGTGCATAAACAGACAACTACATCGTCGAACAACAGAATGTTTATCGATATACTTTCTTGTTACTAAGGTCAATTTGAATGTGTGATATTTTTATTATGTGAAACTCAAATATCAAAAGATCTATCGAAAAAAAATTTTCTAAACATTATATGTTTAAAAAACGTATCATAGATTTTTGTAAGTTATAGACTCCAAGTTAGAAATTATACTTGCACTAAAAATTTTCTTTGTAATGTACTGTATCTTTATTTCTGAAAATACAGAATTATTTATCATGATTTGATAAATATAAAGAATTCATACTGATTCATTGACATCAGCGGTAGTACTTTACTCTTACTTTATAAAATAAAATTATATAAAACCTTTATTTTGGAAGATAAACGTAGATGAATTTTTCATTAAAAAAATAAACATAAACTAATTATTTGGCTTTAAAAATATAGAGAAAGTAAAACAATAAAGGGTTCTTTTTCCGAGTGATAATAATATTGAACATTTTCTGAGACCAAAGACCTTATATTCAGAAAGACTATTATCATCAAATAAATTTATTTGTCTTGAAAACAAGCTAATTCAAACTTTATTTGAACTTCCGCTTTTTTTTTCTAATATTTAACATAATTCAATCACAAAAGTGATAATTAAATCAAAACAGATATCATATCCTAAATCAGCATCAAAAACAAACCCAACTTATGGATATTTAAAATATTTGTAGGATCATATTTTCCATCGAAAAATTCATTTGTATTCGCTCTTAGAATACTTGATTAAAAAAAAATGAGGGCTACCAAAACGCTGGTTTTATTGTTTAAACGTTCTTCAGTTTGTGTTCTACTATCATTTTGCAATATTAGCGCTTGATTGTCATTGCCGAAAGCGTTTTTTGATAAAATTCATTTTTTGACCGAAGTTTTCTGAGGGCGAGTATGGATGAATTTTTTGATCGAAAAAAATCATCTCACAAATATTTCAAATATTCATAATTCAGGTCCCTTTCTGATACTGATTTAGGATATGATATTTGTTTTAATTTAATTATCACTTTTGCGACTAAACTATGCTAAATATTAGAAAAGAAGCAGAAGTTCATATAAAGTTTCAACTAGCTTGTTTTCAACACAAATAAATTTATTTGATGACAATAGTCTTTCTAAACATAAGTTCTTTGCTCTCAAAATATGTCCAACACCATTATCACTCGAAGAAAGGATCGTTTATTCTATTACTTTATCTTTATCCTTTAATATAAATGTTAATGAAGATAAACGATCATCCCTAATTAACATAGATAGGGATGCACGGTTCCGGTTTTTATCGGTTCCAAAGAACCGGAACCGGTGGAACCGATTGGAACCGAAACCGGAACCGATTAGAACCGATAAGAACCGATTGAAACCGAAACCGATAAGAACCGATTGGAACCGAGACCGGAATCGGTCAGAACTAGGGATGTAACGGTGACGATAACCGGAGGTACAGTTATTGGTTGAAATCGGTCGTCAAGAAAAACAGCATTTTTTAAGAAAAT